GGCACCGGGAACAAGCCGCCGCGCGCCAAGGAGACGATGTAAGCTTTCCTTCTTAGCCCCATCCCTTCTCTCACCATCATCGCAGTGCGCATCTCCGAACGATCGCCGCCCTGACGCCGACGCCCACCTCACCCTCCACAACCATATCCTCCCTTACCGCCCCCGCGCCGACCGCGCCTACACCGCAGCAAATTCTCACCGCGCACCTTCTCCTCACGCTCCTCTCCACCGGGCCCCATTTCTCCATGCCGCTCAACAAGGTCAAGGAGTCGTTGACCGACAAGGCGAGCATGAGTGGCGGTGCGGGCCTTGTGGTTGGCGACCAGAGCACTACTCGCATTCTCTTCGCCTGCGTTCGGAAGCGACTCCTCAAGATTGAGCGTGGCGGCGGCGAGCAGGTTGTTAAATTTGACTTCTGATGCGATTTCCCGTTTCATAGGACCGTGTACCGTGCAGATGATACTACTTGAATTTACTCTGGCTTTGCAAGGGCAAAAACATCAAGGACACTGGAGGAGGTGGTTCCCCGCTGATAGCTGACACCATTGTGCAGAGTCAGCCTGATTACCTTTCCAGCACACGTCGGAATAAGGCCGTCGACGCACGCGCGAAGGAGACAGCCCAGAGCGCCTCCTCCGTTCTCGCGTCTGAGTCGCCTCTCTCGAAGCGGCACCAAGGAATTCAAGGTACGTTGGCTGGCAAAATGGTCAAAGTCAACACGCTTCCGGCATATCTCCCTCTTCGACAGCGACAAGCCTTCCAGCGCGCACGTACGATGACCTGAGTAGCCCGTAGTGCAGCGTGTTCACGCAGCTGCGCACGACTCACTTCGCCCTCAACGCGTACTTGTTTCCTTTCCATCTCGCCCCCCGACTGGCAACTTTGTCTCGTCCCCGAGATGGTTCCTCATTGACTCCTCTCCTCACCTGCCCCCGCTACCACCTCGACCTAGTTGTCAGCCCAGGCACCGCACGCCTCTCCCTGCGCCGCCTACTCACAGCCAAAGCAGACCCCTCTACTCATAGCCAAAGCAGACGCCAAGCCAACCTTGCGTTTTGCGCGCAACACCGCGCTACGCCCTCTAGGACCGCACTCTTTCTTTTTGCATTTCTTTCCTGTTTCTCATCATACTTGACAATCACAGAACATGAATTGAATTGAATTATCACGTATAACTTATTAAGTGTCCCGGTCTGCGCTGGAATACGTGAGGCGTTAGTCAGACATTTTTACCATTACTTTGCAATGGAGAATCATTTTTATTCTCGTAAATGATAAAAGTATGGGTATGATGCCGGAGAAACGACTCCGCCGGACTCTCCGCCGAGTCCGGCGGAGAGTTGGCTTACCAATGATATGCCTCCAGCCCAACTCCAGCCTTTCCCTCAAGCAATCTCTTGCATGTAAATAGCCAGAGAAAATCACTCTGGGCATTCCATTTATGCGTGTTCTACCTGTTTTCTCTCTAAGGATCCATGTTGGAGGTTTAACCAGATTGCCTCCAAAGAAACATGGAAGCCTTTGAGCCATTCTCTCAAAGGATTCCCTGGAAGAATTCCTCTCATGTAATCCCTCCAAGTTTTCAGGTTGCATATAGTATTGTTCTCTTTTCCTCTCCTTGTTTTTATGCCTTTGAACCTGATCATTTCACAGACTTTGTGTCTTGGTTGAATGGTGTGTTCTGCGCATTCAACCCGTTTTACTTTTGTCCAGCTTGAAATCTGGTTTTGGTCTCCAAACTCTTAGTATCCTGCTGTAGCACAGCTCTGTGGCAGTTGTCCCGGTATGTACTGCATTCCATTGACTTCAACCGGCAGTATGTACATGAATGGTATCTAGTGCCAGAGACTATTTGAGTCGTGAAAGGGCTAGCAATTTTTGTTTTGGGCACTTGGACGGTTAATTCAGTGGCTGCTAAGGTTAGCTGGGGTTGCGCGCTCGACATGAAGTTCTTGAAGCAAAGTTTGAAAGGGAGGCAAGTCTTCAAAAAGCGAAGTCTCGGAGCAGAATACTTGAACCAAGTCTTCAAGTTGAGGCAAGTCTCGAAAGGAAGTCTTGAAGCAGAGTGCTTGAATAAAGTCTTGAGGCAGGTCTTGAAGCGAAGTCCTGGAACAGAATGCTTGAAGCAGAGTCTTGAAGCAAAGTTCCTAAGTGGAATGGGAAAATCTTTGAAGTGGCAACTGAAGGGAGGTGAACCGCCCAGAGCATCAGACCCGGTCCTGGTCACCCGGAAAGGGTGCCAGTATACGGCACCCGAGCCTGGCAATAGGCCCTGGTATATAGCAGAGGGCATGAATGGAGCAGATGCAGATGTGGCGAAACCTGTTCTAGGTGGATGAACCGGGAGGTGGTGTGAGCGGGCCATGGAAGCAACCCATTCAGTGCGCCACAATTATCCAGCGACGCTTGTTGGTTGATCTGGCTTTGCCGCATCTTTAAAATAAAAGGCTCAAGCTCCAACCTTTAAGTAATGGGACGAAAAATGATTTGTCAATCTCTGACGGCTCTCACTGACTCTCCATGGCTTTGTCTCGCAAGAGTCAACACACTGATCATGTTCAAGACTCGGGCGAAGTGCCTGGGCGGCGCGCTCTTGTACATTGTAACATTGCTGTAACATGTACATCATACACTAAACATCATAAGTACTGGAGGTAATCAAGTAGCAATATACCAATGAACATGATTCCGTGAAGGGCATGAAGCAGACCACTGAGGAAAAATCCCGAAGCAGAGTCTTGAAGCGAATAACCGAGGATGATTCCCGCAGCAAAGTCTTGAAGCGAACGGCCTAGGATGATTCCTGGAGCAGAGTCTTGAAGCGAACGGCTGAGGGTTAGTACCTGAAGCAAAGTCTAGGATATTCCCAAAGTTCCCAAAGCCAAGTCTTGAAGTGATATGTCATGGGGGAAGGCTTGAGGGAGGTCTTGAAGCAAAGGTTTGAAGGGAAGCGTTGAAGTCGACGTTCGAGTGAGGGTGCTGGGGCACGGATGCGAGACGGCGGGAGGCGGAACGAGACGGCGCAGGGGCGGTACGGGTATGGGTGGAAGCAACGCATATCTCTTGTCGATGCCGATGTGATTCTGGATGAGGAAGCTGCCAACACGCCTGATACCGGTGCATACGCAGACGCGGACGCAGATGGCAGTGCTTACATGGACGCGGAGGTGTATGCGGGCGAGGGTATCAACATGGACTGAATGCTGACTCGAGCGAGGTCGTGTCACTCAACATCCGCATCCTGTGCTCCCCCCCTGCCCCCGCTGATTGGGTGTCGACGCACAGGCCCGCGCCTGCGCCCGCGCTCCCGTGGTCGTAGAGGCGCGGGCATATGTCAGGCGGTACGACATCCCATGTGGAGCGGAGCAGCACGAGGAGGGTTGGGGAGAGGGAGGGGTAGGCGGCTGGGGGTTAAGGCGTTAATGAGTCATGAGAGAGGAAGGAAAAAAAGAAAGAAAGAACAGGGAACAGGGAAGGGAGGGAGGTAGGGAGTCATGTAACGGAGGGATGATGGATGTATCAGATCGTACCGTCAGATAGCATAGCAGTCGGAGCAACGAAAATGAAAATAACCAAGTGAAACGAGACTCACAATTCCACCCCTCAAGCGCTGCGGCGCCTTGGCCCCCACCCTGTTCCTCTTCTTGGACTTGGGCTTGGTGCCGATGTTAGCGTTGGCGTCGGTGCTGCGGCTAATTATCGTGTCTGTGCTCGTGCCAGTGTTGGCGTTGACATTGGAGGCGCAGCGCAAGCGGCGCGAACCACCCCCGCAGCTGTTGAGTGCGGCCTGTTGTCCGCCTCGGACAGTCTACGGGCGAAGGCGGCGTGGTGGCGGAGACGGCGAGACGGCGTGGGGTGAAAATGCGGCAACTTCAAGCCTCCGCTCATGTGGCAGTGCGTCCAACGCGAATCCCGGGCAAAACAGGCGCTGGGGAGCAACAGTGTCAGAAAGAATAAACACAATGTAAAAATACTCACAGGGTGAGTATCTGGGACACGGTGATGCTAACGACAATGCGCCGGGAATGCCAAGACGCCGGGGAGACTAGACGGTGCGGGTGTGGGTGCGGGTGAGACGAGTTGGATGGGTTGGGTCTGTAGCAGTCGGAGGGTGCATCAAACCTGTCAAAAAAAGGCTGAGAGGAGCCAGTCTTGGAAAATGTGGAAAGACAAAATGAAGAGTAACTGGAGCAGCACCCAGCTCAGCAACGTCCTGACCATAGAGATGGCCCAACAGAAGCACGGCAAGGCCACATTGCAGGCGGAACCGGTGAGCTGGGCAAAGCTGCCAGGCTTGCACGAGACCAAGCCACTAGCCTATAGTAACAAACAGAGACATACAGACACGTCGCGTTGACATCGCGTGACCACTTTGAGCAGAGGCATTCCTTAAGTCAGAAAGCTGCAGCGATCCATTCCAGTGGAACCCAACACGTAAATATTGTAGAGAAGATCCTCAGCCAAACAAACAAAGTAAATGCTTCCAAGTAGGTGAAGTAGAGTGAAAGCTTGGATGGAATACATGGAGGGAACCAGTGGAGAGAAAACCTGGACTATTCATGTTGCAAAAAGAGCTGGAGACTAAACGTCCCAGTAATCATCCACGGGAAATCCCTTCGACATTTGCCTGGAAGGAAACGCTCCAACGACTGTCCGGCACGTGATGTCCGGCCTCCGCCGGACTCCGGCGGAGTCTCCGCCATCATACCTATACTTCCATCGTTCTCCATTTTTAAGACACTTTGGCCGAGTGGTTAAGGCGATGCCCTGCTATTACGTAAGGCATTCTAATCTACTGGAGTTTACCCGCACATCCACACCGCAGATCAACGCCGCAGACTGGATACATTGAATACAACGGAAAGCCCAATCGCTCGATGATACTTACATCGTTTCCTCGTCACTTTTACCCACTGTGTGGCATCTTGAGTGCTGACCAAATCTCTGCATTTGGAGTGAACGTTTTCCCATTACTTTACAATGGCAAGCAAGTCTTTCATGGCACTTTGGCCGAGTGGTTAAGGCGATGCCCTGCTAAGGTCTGTCTCGACATTGTTGAGTCAGCTACTTACGTAAAGGCATTGGGGTTTCCCCGCGTGTGTTCGACTCACACAGGTGTCGTCCTTTTTCGACGGCGATGCGATTCGCGCAAAAGACACGGGTGCGATTCGCGCCATCCCAAGCACTTTTGCCGGTGGTAATTTCATGCCGACCCGACTGCGATTCACGCCGAAATACACCTGTGCGATTCGAGCCCTCTCAACAGGACCCTCCGTGGGTGTTCGAATGGCACCATTGTCTAGATATTGTGCCCTGAAGTTTGATTCGATTTTTTCTTTTGGTTATCTCCAAGTTTCATCGGAACCCTGTGAATTCCTTCTTCTCGCGAACTCCTCAAATAAATACGGTTCGCCGCGGCGGAGCTATATCGGGACGATAAGCTTGCTCAGAATCTCCATGGCCGACAAGTCGACGCCCACCGTTGGTGTCCCTGCCAACGCCAACTATGTCCTCGTCTGCCACGGCGGTGCTGGTACCATGTCCAAGGCGAATTCGACGCCCGAGCAGCGCGCAGCGTACAGGGCTGGAATACGCGCTGCGCTAGAAGCAGGTTACAAGATCCTCAGCGAGGGCGGTGCGACGCGAATCCTTTTGTCCTCGTCTCGTTCCTGAATATGTAGGTGCAGGCGAGGCCATGGACGCGGTCACCGCTGCAGTCTCCTCAATGGAAGGTGCGCTGCTTTCATACCCGGTGTACATGCTCCTCACGCGTCGTAGACTGTCCTCTATTCAACTCCGGTAAGCACCTGCGGCCGTCGTGTGCCCGCCACCTTGACCTCTGCTAGGCAAGGGAGCCGTGTTTAACACTGCCGGAAAGGTTTGTGCAATATGAACAAGCATAGCTCAACTTCGGTACTACACAGAACGAACTGGAAACCTCCATAATGCTTTCGAAGCCTCCGGCGTCGCACCCCGAAATCTCGCCTTCCCGACGGGGCGTAGGTATTACCCTCCTCTCGCACGTCCGCAACCCGAGCGCGCTTGCCCGGGCTCTGTACCTCGCACCGGACCTCCTCCCACACACTTTCATCTCCGGCGCGACAGCCGAATCCCTCGCCGAGTCGCTCGGCGAGGAGTTGGCCGACGAGTCGTACTTTTACACGCGCAACCGTTGGCTGGAGCACCGCCGCGGGCTCGGCCTTCCCGATGGGCCCTTCCCGTACCCGGATTCTGACGATGAAAAGGCCGGGCTTCCGCTGCTCGATCTCCAACCCACGGGCACGGTCGGTGCGGTCGCGCTCGACGTGCGTGGGTGCATCGCAGCGCTCACGTCGACGGGCGGCCGCACGAATAAGCTCGTCGGGCGCGTCGGCGACACGCCGCACATGGGCTCCGGGTTTTGGGCGGAGGAGTGGTCCGTAGCAGCGGGATGGGTCCAGAAGGCGTGGGGCAAGATCTGGGGCCTCCCCGCGCGGCATGCGCTCGGCGTCTCCGGTACGGGCGATGGCGACGTATGTCTGCGCTGTCCGTTGGTTCTCCGCGCGTCTTGACTCTCTGTAGTACTTTATAAGGTGCGCGACTGCGGTAACCATCGCGCATCGCGTCAAGCACCTCGGTGAATCGCTACAAAAGGCGACGGAGTACGCGGTCGGGGAGCTCCGCAACCATGGGGGCATTGGTGGTGTCATCGCACTTGACAGTGCTGGAAATGGTTGTCGCGTCCCCTTTCCCCGCGTTCGACCACTCACTCTTTTGCAGTTGCAATGCCTTTAAACTGCCCGGGTATGTATCGAGGCGTCATCCGAGACGATGGCGTTCCTATGACGGCAATTTTCAACGATGATGTTTTGGAATGAGTAGATGATTTTTTGAGTCGTTTCCCTCTGCTAGTCGCTAGTTTCAGTGTGTGAAGTGCAGTGTTGTCTTTTGCCCCAATTGGTATTCTGCACCGACTCGCTCGGTGGTTTCATGCATAGCACCAGGAAAAAATATTAGCGACAGGAGAAATAGTGATACAAACCTGACTACGGAGCAATGGATCTATAAAATCATGGCGCCTCCTCACTCACTTCGCCTTCCTCCTTGCCCGCTTTCGTCGTATCCCCTTCGAGGTTGCGTGATTCACCCTCATCGGGAGGTGTACCATTCACTTTGCTCGCACCACGAGTGCCCGGCACCGACGGCGAGACAGAGGTCGCCTCACTGGCGCTCGAGTCGCGACGTTTCATCGAGGCGCGTGTCGATCGCCGCTCAGGAAGCGACGAGTCGGCGGTCGGCGTTGGCTCCGGAGTGGGGGTGACCTCCGGTAAAGGCACTGCCGAGTCACTGGGAGAGCCTTCTTCGGCGAGGTTGGCCACGCCGCGTGGGTTCCGGGTCCGTTTCGCGGGATACGTCGCGTCGCCGTCGTCGACGTCCTTGCGCTTCCGCTTGGCGCCAGCACCGCCACCAGCGCGTTTCTTACGCGGGCTCGTGGTCTTTTCCTTGATTTCGCGCGCAGCGACGGCCGCAATGGCACTGACATTGGATATCGGTGCGGGCCGGCTAGGGACCTCGTCTTCCTCGGCGTCGCGTAATTTGGCAGCGGGCCGGCGCGAACGGGCAGATGAGCGGCGGCCAGAGTCCGAGTCGTCGACGCTGATGGGGGTCGAGTGGCCAAAGCTCGCTGGCTCGAGAGGCGGCAGCGAGAGGGCGAGCCGACCGAGAGGGTGGTACAAGGGGAGAGGCGGGGCCATGGGGTACTTTTTCCGGGGGACGAGGCCTGCGCGGACAATGATGTTGGTGGTGGGTGCTGGGGTAGTTTTTGGCGTGGATGTAGATGCAGCTGAGGAATCGAGTCTTGTGTGGGACAACGTGGAGAGAGACATGGCAACGTTGGAGGACACCAACGGATGGGGAGAGCGATATGTATACATTGGTTTCCTGCGAATGGACGAGACGGGCGGGGCGTTCATGACGTCCATGCTGAAGAGATGGATGCTAGTACCCACGAGAGTGGCCCAGTCTGAGTTTTCGGAGAGGAAGAGAGATGGTATACTGTACCCACCTACTACGGTGCACGCGCGGTGTGCGGGGGGACGAGGAGAGAGAGGCAGGTAGTAGAGACCTGTGCAGAGGTGACAGCGAGCAGCGTGCACGCGAGAAGGGAAGACTTGGGCACGGGCCACCAGAGCACATAAGCCACATCCGGCCCGACTCGTTTGATCGCTAACTCGTTACATATATAGATAACCCCTATCTACAATCTCTACAGTCTCTCCGTCATTGCAGAAAAATGTCTGAAACCTCGTTAGCGTCCCACCGAATCGAAAGAAAGTAGCCTACTTTTCACAGATCGCAGAGAAATAAAACTCGTGTCTGCGCGGGTCGTCAGCGTCGTCCAAGTATCCCCCGACGAAAACCACTCACTCCGAATTATGTGGATGGACAAGATTGTGGGCAATCTCGTGCGCCAGAGTAAAGTACCTGAGTCGGGGGGGTCGGGACAGAAGGATGGGGTCGACTAGCGGACCTACCATGATATGTACGCCGCCTTTAGGCGTCCGGCCTTGACGTCACCATCGTCTGCAGATTTTGGTTCAGAACCGGCCACGACAGCTTTGAAACCACCACCCACGCCATGCCTCATAGTACCGTAGGTTGAAGAATATGCTTCCGTTGCGGTTGAAAGCGATGAGCCCTCCTTCGAGGTCATAGAAAACATGCAGGCTTGTCAGCGGGAGACTGTACAAATGATCAGTTTCGCTCAACAGAAAGGTAATGCAATCCGCACTTGTACACCTGTGCAAGAACCATCATGATGGGCACAAATCGAGTGAGAGGCCCGTATTTTGCCGGCATGAAGGTGTGAGGATCCGGCACTTCTGGAAACGACATGAATTGAGGAATCACAGAGTTTTGTTAGAGATATATACCTTGCGAGACATACACCTTGACGCCCTCAATTTCACCTAGTCGAGTCAGCATTGCTTCCTACATGCAGCACCGCCTAACTTACCGACAACGGTGAGGTCTCCCGCACGCCCAGAAATGTCGCAATACCCCTCGTTCAACGACTCTTGAACCTGCTGCATCTCTTCTCTGTTCTGTAAGAGATTACCAGACTCGGGCCGGCAAGCCTGGATAGCCATGTCTATATTCGACGCTGGTGCATGGATAGCATAAGCAGACCGCACAGCGCAGTAGACATTTTCAAATTACATATGTGGCTGAGCGGCGTCACTGTTTTGGACGTGCGTCCGGTCGGTCCAGGCGCAGAAGGTCCGGTCGGTCCAGACGCAGAAGGTCGGGGTCCGGCAACGGAATGTGTGATCTCGGAAGGTCCGGACTCAAAGGGTTCGGACTCAAATGCAGAAGGTCCGGGCTCGGGGCGCGTTGCGTTCGGTACGATGGGTGGGTGAGGACCACCCTTGTCTCCGGGATGCCGGTTTAGTTTGCGTTTGAGCTGCTGGAAGGACCCCATCACACTACTCGAAGGACGTGACTTCAGCTCGGGAGGTGGCGGCGCTGGCGAAAGTCCCGATTTCTCCCAGGGCGGGAGGTTGGTTGTCGTCGTCGTCGGCATCGAAGGGGGGACTGGAGGCGGTGGCTTCGACATCAGTTGAGGAGGTTTTTTTTGTGCCTCGTCTGCAGCTGCTTGGCGAAGCGCGTTCTGCTGTCTCAGAATTCTGTCGACTATCGATAATATCAGCTCGGTCCTTGGAAATACCTACAGACGTGCCATTATATCCTCTTCTCTTGAGAGCCTTCAGGTCCGTTGAGAGGATGGTCATGAACAGAAGGGCATCGTTCGTTTTGGGCGAATCAAACAACAGGCGGTTGAGCGATGTAGCCACCCTGAAAAATGGGCGAAAATTTACGACTCGGCAGGCTCGATGATCTGTCTGGTGACTTACTCGTACATATCCACCTGCGCATTTCCCGCCAGCCTGTGAACATTTCATGGAAGCTGGGTCCACCAAGAAAAAAAAGGAAATATATACCAGAGGTGAATTGGTCCTGCGCCCATTCTCTTTGCAACAGCAGATGCTTCCTGCGTCCGCGATTGCCGGATATCCCCGAAATTGAGGGTCTTGGTGACAGAAAGCTTCCCAAAACTTGTAACGATAAAGTGCGCTTCCTGG